TGTTGACAGATTGCCGGTGCATGGTGAACGGCGGTGCACCTACATGTAGAAAGACCGCGTCCAATCATTGGCATTGCCATGACCATGATGACATGGCATGACTCCCATGCCCAGTACCCGGGCCCCTTTTATTTCTCCCCTCCCCCTCGATCCCCCAGGCTCCGGCCCTCGAGTCGACTCGTTGCGTGAACGTTGGCCTTGTCGCAGCTATGCGTGGCAGAGAGCGACTCAAGCTATTCTTCTACAACAGTACAAGTCAGTAGACCTACACCCTAACCATGGTGCACTCTGGTCTGTAGCTGTGTTGATCTTCTTGCCTTGACTCAAGGCAAGAAGATCAACACAGCTACAGACCAGAGTGCACCATGTCCATGGTTAGGGTGTAGGTGTACTGTAGAATAGAATGATAGATCTACATGACATGTACATGACTTGTGCCGGTAGATCTAAAAATTAATCATACATGTAGACCCTCTAGTCTCTACCTGATTTAGGCTACAGTACTGGCACTGGTAGATCTAATCTCCCGAGATGGGCATGGACTTCGTGTGGCACTGACACTAGGAGTAGTCTACTTGAGCACTGATTTATTCACAACGCCAAGGCAAGGCGTAAAACCATGAAGTAAGAACCATCGCTGAGTCTGTCGTGATTGTAGTTCTCTCCAGTCCTAGTACTCTAAAAATGATTGTCACAAAGTCAAAGAATCTCGCAGAGACGGCAGTCATAACAAGAAGATCCACTACTAGTACTACAGTACAGTAGTAGTATCGCGTTGGCGGGTAGTTTGGCACACACAAAAACCCCGGTCGATGATACTTGACAGCTTTGCTTTTGCCTGCAGACCTGGGAGTTTGGTGCCATCTACTGTACTAATCTGTGCGGGGAATATTATAAGTATTGCCTATCCAGTATCCTGGCCTACAATGCTACATGTAGCGCCTGGTACAGACAGACTCAGTGGTAGTCTACTCTAATAGTAATAGTAGTACTACTAGTACTGTACCGTGTGCATCAGTAGAGTGGTGTGCACGGAGTATGGAGAGTCACAGTCGCCTGGTCACAGTCTAGCCTTCAAGTTTTAGTGACTGAAAACTGCAGCAGCTACATTTACTACAATATTTACTGACACCATGCACGCTTGTTTTGTGTAGCTAGACCGTAGAAGGACCCGGTATATACCGGTAGTGCTGTCAAACTCGAGTCGTCGAGACTCCGTCTCTCAGTCGACAGAGAGTATCGACCGGTGTACTGCATCCTCGCGATCGGTCTGCAGCAGGTACATTGTACAAGCTTTTCGTGTGCAGGCTGGTGCAGCACGTCCCCTTTGCTTTTACTTGGGAGAGTTTTGGCAGGCCTGTGGCAGTGCTAAGTCAGTTATTTGTATTACTACGGTAATCACACAGTTTATACAAAGGCAGGATAGCAACCTCAGCTCCGAGTGACTCTACAATACTACATGTAGCGCGTAGACCAGGTGAACATAACAGTAGATTGCTGAAAACTTGTCACTGTGACAGGTCGCACTGTATTTTTTCGGCCAGAGTGTTTGCCAGTTTGGTGTTCTGTCCCTAGCGTCCTCTCAGTCTCACCGCTGCTCAGTCAGTGGCCTGAGCTCTCCTTTTTGTATGGAGTTTTGAGGCGTTCGGAAGTCTTGTGTGCGCGGATTGCGTGTTCGTGTGCTTGTGGCCCCATCGCACGGCTAGTGTAGTGCAGCCAGGAAGGCAGGTGTGAAACGATGGACGCTGGACAGGGTAGCTCTGGCGAAGCAGCTCCTGGTGCTGACGGAACAGCCGTGCCCGAGATAAACATCGAGCCGGGATCACCTCCGCGGGACGATGATCCTGCTTACGACTCGATCAGGGAGGCCGAAGCCGTCTCACAGTATGAAAATCTTCAACTGGCCTCCGTCGGCAGAGCAGCAGCCAATCGCTCGTCCACCAAAAATTCTACTCGGCGGAAGTCCACTATTCGACAATCCCGCTCTGGGTCTGCGGGCCGCTCCAGGGGTAGATCAAAAACGAGCAGCGACCGAAAGGGCAAGGGCTCGTCGTTCGCACCCCAAGAAGGTAGGGATATTCTGACCCTGGCTAATAACTTTTTCTCAGTGTATGTCAACTTTTGTCAAGTATCCTACTACAGTGTAGTACTACTCGATCGGGTATGATGCTTCTCATCTACCGGTAGTTTCTAAGGACATGCATGTCGACTTCGTTTTCGTAGTACCGGTATGTATCTTTTAAGTTTGTTACTAATACTAGAGGAGTTTGCAGAAAGTATGTGTGTGTCACACTCAGCGTACCAGTATCCTAGATTAAAGGGGAAGTTAAGGCAAAAATCAAAATTTCACCAGTTGTAGTCTTCGGGGTGCTGAGTCGAACGGTCGTGGTCCGAGGAAGCTGAGACGCTCCCTTCCTACTTGAATCCCAATCGAACTCGCGCACTTCCACCGAAACTGGGTGACTGCGCCCTACTAGATGGGGATTTGTATGCAAAATGTCACTAAAAGCGCTATTTCGTTTTTATAAAAGCACGGATGACCGCGATTGGCCCATATCTTGTAGTCTTCTGGACGCTGAGTCGATTGGTTTTGGTCCGAAAAGGCTGCGATGCAGCGTTCCTCCTTTATTCCCAATCGAACATGGTTGAAGAAGCGGTCACGTGCTCCTGCGTACGCCAGTCACCTGGTCACCGTGCCTGCAGGGTACAACTTACTAGCCTGTTTGACCTTTTTTGGGTGCAGTCCTGTCACTCGAGTTGAACCTTGGTGTGAAAGTTGTCGCCTGCTGGCGTGGTGACCAGGTGATTTGGGCACCCAGGAGCACGTGACCGCTTGTTCAACCATGTTCGATTGGGAATAAAGGAGGAACGCTGCATCGCAGCCTTTTCGGACCAAAACCAGTCGACTCAGCGTCCAAAAGACTACAACATATGGGCCAATCGCGGTCATCCGTGCTTTTATAAGAACGAAATGGCGCTTTTAGTGACATTTTGCATACAAATCCCCATCTAGTAGGGCGCAGTCACCCAGTTTCGGTGGAAGTGCGCGAGTTCGATTGGGATTCAAGTAGGAAGGGAGCGTCTCAGCTTTCTCGGACCAAGACCATTCGACTCAGCACCCCGAAGCCTACAACTGGTGAAATTTTAATTTTTGCCTTAACTTCCCCTTTAATAGCTGGTGGGGGTCTACATTTAGATGTTTAGTCATCATTCATAGCCTGATCGCAAGCAGCGTGCCATTCACTGATTGAAAGTCCGCGCACCCATTAGTCAACACTGTACCCTAACTCCTAAGTCCTTCATGCATCTTTATCAATATTTGACAATAATTTAGAGCATGTACATTACATGTAACTGTTAGTGTTATCAACATTCTCCGAGGCTGTTTTTGAAACATGATAATGAGAGACAATAGATCATTAAAGATCACGTCAAAAAAGAAAGGGGATCAGGTGTCAGATGAGAAAAAATACATTCTGTCCAAGAGAAGGGTGTCACCTGAAACTGCATGGCAGCCCTACCAGTCCATGTTGCCAATTGCCAGGCTAGAACTGACTCATAAGACCCATCATGATCAACATCTGCACGAGGTCTTACATTGTATAAACCAACACTGGTCTACGTAGTGTCTTCTGTGCATTATCACCTTGGTGTTTGGTGTTTGGCCTAATCTTCTTACTGTAGTAGTTATCTGTAACTAGGTAAGCCAACAAATATTTGGTGCATATCTACTTTCGGCTATTTTCAGCCTGGCCTGATATCGGTTCGAATGGCATGTCTCTGGCTTAAACTCGCCAAATCGCCATATATGTATGACACACATGGCCATAGTGACCAGCGCAGTGACGCAAGACGGTTAGGCCGCGATGAGTGGCCTCAGTCCGCAGTATTCAGTATTCAGTGCAAGTGGGCTCAGTATGTGTAGGGTATACTCGAAAGTCAAGTGAAGTTCCGCACATCCGACTTGCCGGCACCAGCTGTAAGTGTTGAGAAACACAACAGCTTTAAAAATCATCAGTGTACTTGGGCCCAGTATAATAATAATGAGCCCATATACACGATCTACATGTACCGGTATATTGTAAGCTAGTTATGTATACATGTACATGATTGTACTGTGTGCTTGCAATGTACAATCGAAGTCGTACCACTGCTCTGCGGAAACAGACTCTGCAAAAAGGTGGTTGCCGCCAATATGACTCCTGTGCAGCATGTTTGTATGTAGTTTGGTGTCACATTACGCGTTCTTGAGTGATCCGTTTGGTAGCACCTGTGGAGAGGGCAGCGACCCTTTTGGTAGCCTGGAGCACTTGTGATGAGGGCAGCTATCTTGCATCTGCACGCATGGGCCGGAGAAACATTCTCTTTGCACTACAAGCTACTGGTCACTTTGTTTGAAGTACTTCATTGCCAGATGAGCTGGGCAGGTCAACAGCATCATTTCGAGATGCACATCGGCAACTTGGTATGATGCACGCGAATCCAGTATCCGCAACCTCCCAGATTGCACCAAACATGCCAGCGGGCAAATAGACTGTCACGCTAACCATAGTGTAGCATGTCTTGCTTTATCTGCCGTGCTTCGGCCACTCCTAGCAAAAATTGATCATGTGATGTATCTTGTGGCCTAGGAATAGAATAGTCCCTATTGAAAACGGGCTACTGCATTTTCCGAAGTATAAGCCGCACTGTAGTATAAGCCACAAATAGATTTTTGGTATGAAATGCAGATATCTTTCCTATTTTTCACCGTTAATTTGACCATTGTAGTATAAGGCGGACGACCGATTGTTTGGGGTGATCTACTGGTGTTTAAAGCAAGTGCGGTTTATACTCCGGAAAATACCGTATATTTATGTCGTGCACTGCTGAACCGCACTGTGACGCTGTGCTGCCGCTGTGCAGGTGTCAAGCGCTATTTCAGGGAGAACGCACCTGTGCAGGAGATCCTGGAAGCTCTGCTGATACCCGATGACGGCGAAGACATTGACGGCATACTG